ATTGCTGCATATGTCATAGAATCCCTACAGCCGATCGAGTTTACACCGACCCTCCGAACAGGAGCATCCCAACCTCTCCCTGTAACCCTGCATTTTCCATGGCTAACCACCTAGCCCACGCACCCCCAAACGCAATGGGCAATTTAGCATGGCCAATCCACCTAACATGCACATCTTTGGACAGTAGGAAGAAACCAGAGCACCCAGAATAGAATGTGCAAACTCCACACAGACAGTCGCCCGAGTGTGGAATCAAACCTGGGTCCCTGACACTATGAGGCAGCAGTGCTAACCGCTGAGCCACCGTGCTGTCCCCACATCTGAAACCAATTCTCCAGAGATGAGATCTGATCATCAGTTTGCTACTTTCTATTTAGGTGTCAAAGGTTGTGGCATTGGGAACTCGAGGGGTGGGGGGATATTGACATGGTGGCTGTTGGTGAGGTGAAGTATGGCTGACACTCTCAACGGTTGGAAAAAAGATGAAATCTCACTCTATGTTGATCAGTAAATTAAATCAGTCGCCAATGGCACATTTCACAACCTGGCCTCACTGGTCCTGGTGTTGGCGAGCCATGGAGAAAAATTGGTGCTTCCACTTCAGTTCCACAATTGTCATGTAGCGCCAAGTGTTTCTCCAGCTGATGCCTATCTCTGTATTCACCAGCTAGCCTTCTATTCTGAATGGCAGCCTTTCCCTCTTCAAGGATAGAATGCAAATCAAAGAACAGGAGGCTGGTGCTGAATATTATTGCTGCAATTCTCAACAAAGAAAGTGGAATATTTGTGAAGAGACGAACCTGCAGTATTAAGTTCTGCAGGCCTCACTGCTAGAAGTGGGCAGGAGGGAAGGCATAGCCTTTTTTCAGTGGATTACAAAACATCCAAGGATATTCTCAGAAACGATTGGAAGCAGGTGTCTGGGAAGGTCAGTCCCTTGGGTCTGGAGCCAATTGTGCCACAAGAGTTCTAATGACCTCATGCGGATGGTCAAGTTTAACAAAGGCATCTTCAGCTGCCTCTCAAAAATCTCTCAAGTTGCCCAATGAATTAGCAGTGTAACAACTCAGTGACAGTGGGAGGGAAGAGAGATGGGGATGTGGTTCTGCTGGGTATTTTCAGCATTCATGTAGAACATTGCATCATTGTTCCAGATTCCAAAGACGGAAAACCAGGATCTGGCACCATCTTTAAAAATCCCTCAGTGCACCTGAAGAAGCTGGACCTGCCCTGCACTGGTCCTGACATTTACCCAGAGGTGGCAGACAAGGTTAAAGTTGGCATTCCATGTTGTGAGCAAGGACCTGGTGGTGTTAGTGGACATGGTGGCATCAAGACAGGATGTCCTCATTCTTCAGGGCTGGCAGTGGAGGACAAGCATCAGAGCATGCCAGCCTGGTCCACACTTACCGCTCAGGTCAGTGCAGTCTCAGCTGTGTGGAGAAATGCCCAGCGCTGCAGGAAGAAGGTCAAGGACCTTCTCCACTCCGCTAGTGTAAGTACCATTATCTTCTCTCCAATCCCTCATGCTCATTTTATCTCTTCTTCTCTACCCATTTGCCAGCAATCCCGATCCATTTTAGATTCATCATGCACAACCTGATATTTGTAAATCCGTGTGTGCACACTGACATGCAAGTCAGGCAAAATTGATTGATCTAGATAGTGGTGCAGTGAGACAATGGAAAAAACAGCATCAAAAAGGATGAATTTTGCAGATCCCTGTAAATCCGTCGGCCTAGGAGACAAAAGACTATTCACCCCCAAGTGGGAATCCCTTCTTATATGACTGAGCAAATGATTTTTACAGTGGACGATTGTGAAGGACTGGACTTGGAACAGAAATGGATAACATATTTGCAAATTACACTAAAATTGGTGTGAAAGTAAGTTTCACACAGGATAGGTTAGTTGATTGTGCCAAAATTTGGCAAGTAGAGCTTAAAGTGGTTAAATGCGTGGTTATCCAGTTTGGTCGGAAGAATAAAAAGGCAACTTACTGTGTGTATGGAGAGTGTTTCAGTGCAGAGGGTGCTGGGAACACGTCACTGAAGTCTAGTGTGCATTTACAGCAGGTAATAAGGTGGGCAAATGGAATTCTGGCATTTATTGCAAAAGGAATGCAGTATAAAAGTAGAAAAATGTTGTTGTAACTGTACAAAACATCAGTGAGACCACAGCTGAAGATCTGTTTATAGTTTTGGTCCCTTCACTTGATAAAGAATGTAATTGCACTGGAGACGGTTCAGCAAAGGTTCACCAGATTAATTCCAGAGATAAAAGGCTCATCTTATAAGGAACAATTGAACAGTTTAGGCCTATACTCGTGAAAGTTTAGAAGGCTAAGAGGACATCTAATTTAGATAAATAAGTTGCGAAAGGGGGTTGACAAAATAGACGTAGAGAGGATGTTACACCTTCTGAGGGAAAGTGGAGTTGAAGCCGGGATGAGATCAGCCACAATTGTTTTAAAAGGCGGAGCAGGCTCGAGGGGCTGAATGGCCTACTCCTGCTCCTAGTTCTTATGGAATCCAGGAGAGTGTTGGTAAGGATGGAGTTGGTAAGGATGAAGCTCAACAATCCTGTCTTTATTGTCTTGACACACAAGCACTGTCATTTTGACTTAATGTGATCAAATAAAATGCCTGTTAAAACCACCTGCCAGAATCTCTCCTGAGCTTCACTTCCTGCAAAGTGAGAGACACTTATTTACCCAGGCTGTACCATTTGAAAGTGTAACCAACTATCTGGGAAAGTCAGGTAAAACAACTGTCAAAATAGATCATGACGGTTCTCCGAAAAGGATTCTGTGACCTTGTAGATGGACATTGGTTCACCTGCTTTTCATGGAGCTACACTACAGAGGCAGAGAAGAAAAAAAATCAATACCAGCGACAGAAGGGACCATTTGTACCAACAAAACTTCTATGTAAGTAGAAATGTTTACACTTTGGGACTTACCAATAACTCATGCAAAGGACATGCTTTCAGTGATGAAGATCAATTGAACAGACACACAAAAATGAGCAGATATGCATTTATATAGAGAGTTTCTCCAACCTCCCAACGTGTTTTCTTATTTGGAGTTTAATCATGATTTTAATGTTGGAAATATAACCATCAATGTGTACACAGCAAGCTCACATGAAAAGAAATAACTAGATTAACTGTTCTACCATTTCTTTTTGAAGAATAAATATTGGCCAGGGCATTCGGAGAAGACTGCTAATAACATAATATTGCCACCAGATGTTTTACATTCATTTGAGTGTTCAAAAAAGAACCTCAATTTAATATTTCATCCAGAAAATGGCATCTCCATAAATAATGCACTCAAGCATCAGCCTATATTTTACTCCAGAAGGAGCTTACATGAAAATCGTTGTTTAGTTGAGTGGGCATCAGCCAGAAACCTCTTCCTGCCACATCCTTGTAGAAACTTAGAAATCACATGCAGTGAGCTCATTAGTACAAGACATTGAGGAAGAACAGCACAGGAAATAAGAAAACATTACATTAGACTTGGCATTCATCAAAACCATCACATTAACAACAGACTGTTTGCTCCAGACACTGCACTGTACACTCATTTTATTCAAAAAAAAATCATTGCTCAGAACTGAACTTTGGAAGTATGCGTAAATAATCATACAGCTGATAAAGTATTCTGACAACCTTCCTAGCCTGTCTCATGCCTTATCATTTTCCTTATATTCCCTCTGACTTAACTATTTTCTTCACAGGCTCACAAGCTTCTCTGTTTTAAGTAGCCCCTATGGGGACCTCATAGCGATTGTCGATCATCATGAAAATCCACCTGATTCACTAATGTCCTTTAGGGAAGGAAACCGGCCATCCACATCTGGTCTGGCCTACATGTGATTCCAGACCCACAGCAATGTGGTTGACTCTGAATTTTTTTTTCACTTGTAGAACATAGGCTTCACTGGCCAGGCTATTATTGATTGCTCGTCCCTAGTTGCCCCTAGGAAGAAGGGGGTGAGCTGCCTTCGTAACCCACAGCAGTCCCCCTGCTGTAGGTTGGCCCACAATGCCATTAGGGAGGGAATTCCAGGATTTTGACCCAACAACTATGAAAGAACAGCAATATATTTCCAAGTCAGGGTGGTGAGTGGCTTGGAGGGGAACTTGTAGCTGATGGTGTACCCATATATCTGCTGTCCTTGTGTTTCTAGATGGAAGTGGTTGTGGGTTTGGAAAGGTCTAAGGATCTTTGGTGAATTTCCGCATTGCATCTTGTAGATAGTACATACTGCTGCTACTGAGCGTCAGCGGTGGAGGGAGTGGATGTTTGTGGATGTAGTACCAATCAAGTGGGTTACCTTGTCCTGGATGGTGTCAAGCTTCCTAAGTTCTTTTGAAGCTGCCCTCATTCAGGCAAGTGGGGTGCATTCCATCACGCTCCTGACTTGTGCCTTGTAGATGGTGGGCAGGCTTTAGGGAGTCAGGAGGTGAGTTACTTGCCACAGTAATCCTAGTCTCTGACTTGTTCTTGTCACCACTGTGTTTATGTGGTGAGTCCAGTTGAGTTTCTGGTCAATGATAACCCTCAGGATGTTTGCTTGGAGTAACACCATGGAATGTCAAGGGGCAGTGGTTAGATTGCCTCTTATTAAAGATGGTCATTGCCTGGCATTTGTGTGGCATGAAAGTTAATTGCCCCTTGTCCTCCTAAGAGGAAGTGGTCATTGATTTGGAAGGTGTGTCTAAGCAGCCTTAGTGAGCTCTGGGCAATTGGAGATAGAGGATAAATGGAAGCCTAGCCAGTAACATCTATGGCCTGTGAACGAATAAAAAAAAGTCAGGCTCTCATTTTAGAATCATAGGATCCCTACAATGCAGAAAGAGGCCATTCGGCCCACTGAGTCTGCACCAACACTGCGAAGAGCATCCCACCCAGACACTCTCTCCACCCTGTCCCCATAACCCTATATCTACTACAGGCAATTCACCTAGCCTGCACATCTTTGGACTGTGGAAGGAAATCAGAGCACCTGGAAGAAACCCACGCAGACATGTGGAGAATGTGCAAACTCCACACAGAAGTCATCAAAACCTTATCTGGAAAGCATATGCACATTTGATTGAAACAGGAAAAGACAGAGTAGATAAATGTAAACCATTTCCACTGGTTGCGGAATCTAGAACTCGGGGATATCGTCTGAGAATTAGGGCCAGACCTTTGAGGAAAGATGTTAGGAAGCACTTCAACACACAAAGGGTGAGAGGTTTGGAACTCTCTTCCACAAATGACAGTGATGTGATATCCATTGTTAAATCTGAAGTAGATAATTTTTCATTAAGCAAAGGCAAGAAGGGATATGAGCTAATGGCAGGCGTATGGATTTAGGTTACAGATCTCATTCAGTGTGAATCGGGTACAAAGTGTTGAATGGCCTGCTTCTGTTCCTGTATTCCTATGTAACACTGGGTCACAGCTCATGGTGACTAAGCACTTCAGCCCCAGGATATTACCTGCTGAAGTTCACGTTCATTAATTTAGGGATGTCTTACCAGGAAGACCTCATCTGGTCTGGCTAACATGTGACTCCACCATCACACCAATGCAATTTACACTTGAAGGTTCTCCAATGTGAGAGAGCGAGGATGGACAATACACAAATTAATACAAAAAGAAATCAATGACTCTTGGAATTGTGAAACTAATTTAACAGTTGTAGCCAGGTGTTGTTCTCACAGCAGAACGCTGGATACACAGGTTGAGTAAATATGGTTTTAAACGTGTGCAAGTGTGTCAGTGTGTCAGTGACCTGATAAAATGCCAGTGTTCCTGCATCATAGTTTAAGTGAACTTGGATCTTCTCGATGAAGGATTTCAGTGGTACTAGTGTATGCTTGCTATTATGACAGGCTCTCAACACATTAATGCCTTGATACAAGCACCAGGCTTTTGAAGTTCTCCGGAGATCAGAATTGCTGCCTGTCTTCTGTATGTTCTTATACGCGATCCCAATTCCCCACCAACTTCCACCAGTTTCCACAGCCCAGGAATGATGTCCGCAGTAAAAGCTCTGGCTGCAGAGGATTTGGGAGTAGGTTTGAAACCTCTGTGGGTTACTTGGATAGTGCTGTTCTTTTTCACTGTACCTCACTGATCTCAGATCGACAGACAGAACTAAGTTCTTGCTTGCAGTATTTGGATCCAGGGTCAACCATGACAATTCTCCTGAAAAATGCAGATTTACCAGAACAGTTATTGTACATGAGGCTGACAGTCTTCCCCAGTAATGGGAGCCCCCACATGACCTTATACCGTACTCTGAGACAAAAACGTTATTTTCTTCTCCATCTTAAAAGGGTCACATCTTATTCTTAACCTGTGCCCTCTCCCTCTATTCGCCCACACATGAGGGACCATCTTATCGACATCCACCATTTGAAACACCCCGTTAAAAGACTACTTCCCATTCTTCAAAACTCTAACGGGTAAGGCCCAACCTGTTCAACATTTCTTCAAATCACAAATCATTCATCCCAGGAATTAATCAAGTGAAGCTTCTCTGAAGTGCTTCTAATATAATTATATTCTTTTACAGATGAGACCAAAATTGCACACATTACTCCAGATATAGTCTTACCAGAGTCTTACATAGCTCCTTGTATATCTCATTCCTTTTGCATTAATTGTCAATGTCCCATTTGCCTTCCCAGTCACTTGCTGTACCCGCATACCAATTTTATTTTATTCATATGCCAAAGCACCAAGTGTACCAAGTCCTGGAATCTCTCTCTATTTCAATAGTAGACTGCTTTTCTATTCCACGCGTGAAAGTGGACAAATTCACAATTCCCACATTGTACTCCACTTGCAATTTTTTTTTGCCCATTCACTTATCCTATTGAGAGCCTTTCAAAGACATTCCAGCTCATTTCACCTGATGAAGGGGCAGCACTCTGAAAGCTTGTGATTTCACATAAACCTGTTGGATTATAACCTGGTATCATGTGACTTCTGACTTTGTCCATCCCAGCCCAACTTTTGCACCTTCCTTTCATGGGTTCCAACTCTTGGCATCTTTGCAAATTGAGCAAAAGTATACTTAGACCTTTGTTCTGAGTCACTGATCTAGATTTTAAACAGTTGATGCCCCAACATTGACCCCTGTGGAACTCCACTCATCACAGCTTGCCATTCCATAAAATCCCCAGTTATTCCTACTCTCAACATCCTGTTAGCTAGCCAATTCTTAATCCTTGCCAATAGTTTATCCTCTACACCCTCTTTACTTGTGTGATTATCTTTGATGGGCATGTTGTCAAATGCCTCTAGAAATGGAAGTACACCACGGCTACAAGTCCCCTTGTCTCCACTTTGCTTGTTACTTCCTCAGAAAACAGTAACAAAACATTAAACATGATTTCCCTTTCAGAAAGCCACATTGACTCTGCCTGATCACATTGTTATTTTTAAACATCCTGCTACACTACCTTCATAAAAATGTTTAGTAATTTCCTTGTGACAGATGTAAGGTCAACATACCCTTAATTTTTGAGTTTCTGCCTCGCTTCTTTGTTGAATAAAGTTATAATAGTTATTTCACAATCCCTTACGACCTTTTTAGATTGTAAGGAATTTTACAACATAATAATCAATGCCTTTGCTATCTTTGCAACCACTTCCCTTAAGACTTAATATCGTCCCTTAATATCTTGTTCTGGGGACTTGTCAGCCTTTTTTGTCTTACAGTTTCACCAATATCTTTTCCCTGGTTATGGGCCAAAGTGTCATTTCGGTACTGTATGATTCTACGGTAATTGTTTTAACTTCCTCCAACTTACTCACTTCTCGATTTTCAAGGATTTTTGGGAAGATTTCAAAATCTTTTACAATGAAGACAGACACAAAGAGGCTACTCAATGCCTTCACCATTTCCTGCTTTCCATTATGAATTCCCTGACCGACTCTGTATGGAATCAGCATAGGAACATATGAAGTAGGACACTCTGTCCCTCAAACCTGCTCCACCATTCAATAAGATCATGGCTGATCTGATTATGCTACATTCCCATTCAATTTTAGCGATACTTTTTGATGAAGGGTCCCAACCTGAAACATCGACTTTTCTGCTTCTCTGATGCTGCCTGGCCTGCTGTATTCCTCCAGCTCCACACTGTGCTGACTCTGATTCCAACATCTGCAGTTCTTGCTATCTCTTAGTTATACTTTGCACCTGTTTGTGACATTTTTAAAGATCGATGCTCCTGAACCATCAAGTCCCTTTGGAAATCCATTGTATTTAACTTCATACCATCGCGAAAGGACCCTGATCTTTTCAGTCGAAAATGGATAACTTCATACTTGCTTCCATTGAACTCTATCTGCCACAGATTTCCCATTCACCTAGGCTATCGATATCCCTGTCTAATTTTGTATTATTGTCTACACTGTCTATTATGCCACCTATCTTTGTGCCATCGTCGAATCAGGATATATAACTTTCTATGCCATTATCTAAGTCGTTAATAAATTATATGAATAATTAAGCCCCTAACACAGATATTTATGCAGAATCACTGGTCACATTCTGCCAATTTCAGTACCAATCGATTATCCTTACTTTCTGTCACTTGCCATTAAATCAATTTCCCAGCCATGTCAGTAATTTGCTATCAATTCCATGGGTTTATCTTTGTGGAATCCTCCTGTCCACGCATAGTCCTACTTGCTTTTTGTCATCTGCAAACTTGGAAACATTACATTTAGTTCCCACATTTAAATCATCGATATATATTGAAAACAGCTGGGGCCCAAGTATTGACCTTTGTGATACTCCACTAATAAAGTCTTCCAACTGAGCATGACTCACTTATTCTCTGTTTTTTGTCGGTTAGCCAGTCAGTAATTCATGCCAGTGTATTACCTCCCATACAATGTGCTTTAACGTTTTAATCATTAGAAAGTCTTTAATCACTTCAGTTATCCCTTAATCCCTTAACAACAAACTGTCCATATCAACTGCCTGGGATTGGTCATTCAGCCAGTTTGTGTGAGAAGCATAGGCTGAGGGTACTCTTCAACCATCTCCCTCAGAGCCATCTCCACTTCAATAGCCATCAAACGCAGATTTCAATGTGGTTCAGCTCTTTTCTCTCAGAACAATTTCCTCTTTCCACAGCTACCTACGTCAGAGATGGACCTTTGAAAGTAAATATGCAACAAAGACCCATCCAGAACTTTGCAAAGGAACAAGTTGATGTACTCCCCTCATTATTTCTCTCACATCTAACCTTAAATCTAAGGATACTCCTGTTGCATTCTCTTCACACTTGCAGTGGGTTTTGCCTTGCTCACTTAAACTGCAGAAATAACCTCATACTAAGCAAGTGGGGAGCAAAATAGAATCATGCTTTTTCCATGTGATTTTCTCTCTGTATTATAATTGCACTTTTTGATTCTCTTGGTAATCTTTCCAATACTTCATTTTGCTGTTTGATGGCCTTTGGAGTGGCTCCTGCTAACGTTGACTTTACAGAGGATTTAGGTCTGGCTTCTTTCAAACGTTTGTCGTCAGCAACTGTCACTGTAAATAAGGAAGTGAGCTAAAAAATTAGGAACAACAAAACCGTAGGTGCAAGTAGCAAACAGTGTGGGCACTACACAGAGTGACGCAGCGTACAGATTACTGTCAGTGATATGGGAAGTTTGGGTGCATTGAACAAGGAGCCAGTAACCGGGGATAGTTAAACATGACTTCCTTGGCCTTGGATCCAAACAACATATACACTTCAAATTCTTTGCTGAACCATACAGTAATCTTAAAGATTGCTTATAAGTTTGTAATACTATCACTAAGCAAAGCATAGCTAAAGTTGAGGTTTAATTTACATTTGTGCCAACCATAATCTACACTCTTGTTGTTATAACATATGCCCCAGTCCTTAATAAAATATTTCATGCGTAATCCTGTAGGTTGTGTTATAAAGATTTTCTATGCTACTTAAGTAATGCTACTTAAGTCGTCTCCACATATGACTTAAACTGTGACTTTAAAAAGCAGAGGTTAAAGACACTTCTCCCAATGTTGCACTATGTTCAAGTTGTATCACAATTGCTTTGTAGAAACCTTAAGAATCATGCCTTGACTTGGGTGGGCCACCAAATGCAGTTCTAATTAATACCTTCAAAATCTGATTTCAGATTTAATCTGACATTTCTAAGTTTGGGTGACGAAAGCAGAGCAAAGGTTTACTTGGCGCTCGTGTTTGATGTTAACTTGTACTTGGATCTGAATTAATGACAAGATTGCCACCCCGCAAGGCATTTCCCTTAATTTTGGATTCTAATTCATTTCACCATTGAGCACAACGTGATCTGGGACCTCTGTCTGATTTCACTTGATGCCCTCAAATATCTCCTTTTTACTACTGTATCGCTCATCTTGTCGCTTCCTACCAGTCAACACACTATTCAGGATGCAGCCTCAAAAGTAAAATATCTTACATGTAGTTTGCATTTCTAATCTGTATGATTATAGTATTGCAAATAAATCTGATGACCAAATTTAGCCTGAATAATTTATTCATGTGGTTTACTACATCTTGGAGCAAACAATGATGAATATTAGGTATTGCATTTGGATGTCTGACATTTTCTGTTATTGTACTCTGTCATTGTTACTTCTGTGATATGTCATTCTATAAATGCTATATGCAAGGTTGTGAATTTGAGATTGTAAGAGTGAGGTCTTCTTATAGAAATCATAATTTACTCTGCATTTGAGGGAAAATAAAAGTCTGTGCTATAAGCTAACAATCAGCTAAAGAAATCAATTAAGCAGCCTAATAAGTAAATGTAATAAACAGAGGTATGCCAGAATACTCAAACTCTTATTGTACACAATGTTTCTAACAGTAGAAAGAGAAGCATGCTGGAGTCTGTGAAAGGTGATATATAATGATATCAAGACAGGTAAATGTACAAGTTCTTGTTGCTTATTGATAGGGATCATTAGCAGAAGACTGAATGAGACAAGCATTGGTTAGAAGCATAGGAGGAGGAAAAGACCATTGTACATTTATAGGAACAAGGGTGTGGATTAGTGCTGAGTGGCTGATCAATTTAATAGTTAGATATGAATTAAAGTAGGTTTTTAATCCTTTGAGTTTTCCTGGATAACCATAATGCTTGATTGAGTCCTAACTCTGTGAAGTTGCCACCTTTTGGGGCTTTCTCAGAAGGTTTCTGATACAAAGGAATTGCCCACCAGATGTTTCAATTTCCCAGGCAATTCTCTCTGAGTCAGGGATTCCTCATGTTCTTGATCCTCAACTCCAGACTGCACTGCTCAAATGACTCCCTGATCATTGGCATGTCTAACCCAATGTGCTCTCAGTCCTATGACAATCTGTCAATGTGACAACCTTCACAGTGCTCATGTGACATTTTACCCAGGGCTTTCTTTGAAATTTTCAAATCATCATATTAGATTGACGTCACACTTTCTCACTTGTTTGAAGAAGAAGGGAAGAAGGCTTGCTCTGTATGTGGGCTATAATTGCTGGTTCAGCTGGTCCTTTCCCACATGTTGATTCCATCCAGTCATGAATTTGTCCCAGTTCGTCCGTGGTTGAGTAAGACATTTCAGATTCCTCCATCAACTTTTTGAGCTGAGGCAGATTGGACAGGTTCAAGGCAGGTTCTGGAGGATCTGGAAATATGAGCTTCTGAGTCTCAACAACTCTGCAATGACAGAGGAAAAATAGTGCTTTAATTAGAAATATAAATGTTGAAGGGTGAAATTGACCAGCAACTCATCATGAAAAGAACAGAATCCAGGTATCAGCATCACAGGAGCAGGAAGGGTGACGTTTCAGGCCTAGACCCTTCATCGGACCCTTTCTGATGAAGGGTCTAGGCCCGAAACGTCAGCCTTCCTGCTCCTGTGATGCTGCTTGGCCTGCTGTGTTCATCCAGCTCTACACCTTGTTATCTCAGATTCTCCAGCATCTGCAGTTCCTACTATCTCAGAATCCAGGTATCGGTAGCTACTTATCAGGTCACTGATCTCCAAACATTTACAGAGATTCTGGCTTCCTGCTGTTGTAATCCCTTCAGGATTTTTAAAGCAATCCAAATTATAATCCTGTATATCAAGGAAACCGAAGTTTAGCATAGGAAATTTGGCATGTCCGCAAGGACCCTCACCAACTTTTACAGATGTACCATAGAAAGCATTCTATCTAGAAAGCATTACATCACGGCCTGGAATGGCAATTGCTCTGCCGAGAACCGTAAGAGACTACAGAACTTTGTGAACACAGCTCAAACCATCATGCAAGCCAACTTCCCATCCATTGACTCGATCTACACTTCACATTGCCACGGAAAGGCAGCCAACATCATCAAAGACCCCTCCCACCCCAGTTATAATCTTTTCCAACCTCTTCTGTCAAGCAAAAGATGCAAAAGCTTAAACATATGTACCAACAGGTTCAAGAACAGTTTCTTCCCTGCTGTTATCAAACTGGTGAATGGACCTCCCTAATTTCAAACCTAACGTTGATCATGCTTTTATACACCTCCCGTGCAGCTGTAACTTTGTATGCTTCACTCTGTTCAATCACACTCTAATCTGTACGCCATTGTGCGGCATGATCTACCTGTACTGCTCATGAAACAAAACTTTTCACTGTACTTAGGTACATGTGACAACAATAAATAAAATCAAATCAATGACCAGGTGACAAGGGCCGGAAGTTCAGAGCAGATGTGAGGAAATCATTTTTACCCTTAGATGATGAGTATCTGGAACTCGCTGCCTGTAATGATGGTAAGAGGCAAAAGTCCCCAGAACATTTAAGAAGTATTTAGATGTGTACTCGGAGATAGCAAGAACTGGGGATACTGGAGTTAGAGACAACAAAGTGTGGAGCTAGAGGGACACAGCACGTCAGGCAGCATCAGAGGAGCAGAAAAATTGACGTTTTAGGTCGGGACCCTTCTTCAGAAAAATTAGATGTGTACTTATGGTGCCAAGGGGACCATGTGCTGGAAAATGGGGTTAGAATAGTTAGGTAGTTGATTTTGACTGACGTGGATGTGGTGGGCTGAAAGGTCTCTTCCTGTGTTGTAGATCTTTATGACTTCATGAGCCAAATGGCCTATTTTTGCTCTGTAACCGCTCAATGATTTGATGAAATTCCTTCAAATTTTTCATGTATTTATTTTAGATGACAAGCTACTGATAAATGGGAGAGAAAGTTGAAACAGCCCACATTCCTTGTATTATGCAACTGGCATTTCAAATCAGCAGTTTGAAATAGATGATTGGGGATGGTTTACAGCATAAACTCCCAATCTTTAATTCTGCAACAAGATACTAGTGAAGGTTTCCTTCACCAGGACTTACCCAATGTCCGAAAGAAACTTACTTGGAAAGGAGCTCCATGGATTTCTGTAGATAAAAGAGGAGGAGATCAATCAGGTCACCATTGATAAAACCAAAAGGGAATGTATTTTGGACCAAACAGTTGAAACACAGTAGAGTGAGTCAGAGTAATTGAATAACGTAACATTTTCCTTCAGGACATTCAGTGAACAGCTGAGTAACAGCACCAACAATACTGTAGGCAGCCAGAATGAGAGAACAATTATTCATCCTAGTGTTCATCTGAACCAAAGTGTTTATGGACAGGAAAGACCATTCATCCACATCCATTCATTCAATCAGAAAGACTCCAAAATTTACAGATTCCAATTGGTTCTGAATCAATGCAGTTTTCTATTCTGTAATTTCCTGTCACAATTGCTTACTGTTTGAAGACGTTCTCAACATCCATCCTAACTTTACTGTTTTTCTATTTTTTGAAACTTTAATTGCATTTACAATTTATAAGAGTTGTAAGACCTTACTTTGTCTGCAGTAGTTACTATCTCCCTCACTACTAAGTCATAACAAATATTCTCCATTACAAGGGTTCATCCTTCCTCCTTGGCCTCCTCAATGTCTTATTCCCTCATGAGATGTGGGCGATGCTGGCTGGCCAGCATTTATTGCCTGTCTATAGTTGCTTTTGAGAAGGTGGTGATGAGCTGCCTTTTTGAACCATTGCAGTCCACATACTGAAGGTAGACCCATAATGTCCTTAGATAGGGAATATCAGGATTTTGACCAATCAATAGTGTGTGTCTGAAAATACAATATGCACTGTCATCTATAGGGCACAGTCAGAAATGTGATGCAACATTCCCCATTTGCCGGATGAGTACAGCTCCATAAACACTCAAGAAGCTCAACCACTGATCAGAAACTCAACTGAACTCACCACATGAACACAGTGGCTACAAGAGCAGATCAGGGGCTAGGAATACTGCAGCAAGTATCTCACTTCCTGTCTCCTCAAAGTCTCTCTGCCAATTGCAAGGCACAAGTCAGGAGTGTGATGGAATATTCCCCCGTTTGTCTTGATGGGTGTAGCTCCAGCAACACTCAAGAAGCTTGACACCGTCCAGAACAAAGCAGCAGCCACAAATATCCACACCCTCAACCACTGATGCTCAGTAGTGCAGTGTACGCTATCTAGAAGATGCACTGTAGAAATTCACCAAAGATCCTTAGGCAGCACCTTCCAAACCCACAACCACCTTCCAAACTGGCAATCTGTACCACCAAGAAGCAGAAGGCAGCAAATCCATAGGACCACCGCCACCTGCAGGCTCTCCTCTGAGTCATTTACCAGCTTGACTCAGAAAAATGTCATTGTCAATTGGTCAAAATCATGGAACTGTCATCTACACCCAAAGGACAGCAGCAGATCAGGAAAGCAGCTCACCAACACATTCTAGAGTGCTGCTAGGGATTGGCACCAAATGCTGGTCAAGTCAGCGATTCTCACACCCAATGAAAGAACAAAACAAAAGAAAATGTATTTCACCTTGCCTGTATTTCTTATCAATTAAAGATCACAGTAAGAAAATCTAATCACAGCAGTGTGCTTGGGAGATGTCCCGAGCACGTGGTTATGCTTCCAACAAAGAACTTTATTTCATTTGTATGCTTGTCTTTGATGACAGAATACATTATTATTGACTTCAGAAAGTGAGGAACAGGAGGAGAAAACAAGGGAAAGACAAATACAGTATACCTGAATAAATGAGATGCTGTCCTCTTGCATTAGATTCTGGGCTTCTTCATCGACTAACCTAATCTGTTCTGCCATTGAGTGAAATGTTTCTGAGCTGTCCCTAATTCCAGACAGCAAAGAATGCTCATGCTCATCGATCAGTCTCAGTGCGCACTTTTCATCTTCGTCTAATTTTTTCCTCCTTTCAGAGAACATCTTTGACAGCTTTCCCTTCAGCTCACTGGTGTGTGTCTGAAAATACAATGCACACTGTCGTTACAAGCTGCACTTACACAGCGCTGTCACCCTTTCACAACAGATCCTGCTTAGCTGAACTCATCCTCACCCTCAACAACTTCTCTTTCAATTCCTCCCACTCCCTACAGACAAAGGGGATGGCCATGGGTACCCGCATGGGCCCAAGTTATGTCTGCCTCTTTGTAGGTTACGTAGAACAATCCCTCTTCTGTACCTACACTGGCCCTAAACCCCACCTCTTCCTCCGTTACATTGATGACTGTATCGGCGCCGCCTCGTGCTCCCACAAGGAGCTTGAACAGTTCATCCACTTCACCAACACCTTCCACCCCAACCTTAAGTTCACCTGGACCATCTCTGATACCTCTCTCTCCTTTCTGGACCTCTCTGTCTCCATCTCCGGCAACCACCTAGAAACCGATATCCATTTCAAGCCCACTGACTCCCACAGCTACCTAGAATACACCGCCTCCCACCTACCTTCCTGCAAAAATGTCATCCCCTATTCCCAATTCCTTCGCCTCCACCGTATCTGCTCCCAGGATAAGGCATTCCACTCCCATACATCTCAGATGTCCTCGTTTTTCAAGGACCGCAACTTCCCCCCCTCAGTGGTCGAGAACACCCTCGACCGTATCTCCTGCATTTCCTGCAACTCATCCCTCACACCCCCTCCCCACAATAACAACTAAAACAGAATCCCCCTCGTCCGCATGTACCACCCCACCAACCTCCGGATCCAACGCATCATCCTCTGACATTTCCGCCATCTGCAATCCGACCCCACCACCAAAGACATTTTTCTCTCCCCACCCTTATCTGCCTTCCGGAGGGACCACTCTCTCCGTGACTCCCTTGTCCACTCCACACTCCCCTCCATCCCACCTCACCCGGTACTTTTCCCTGCAACCGCAGGAAGTGCTACACGTGCCCCTACACTACCCCCTTCACCCACATCCCAGGCCCCAAGAAGACTTTCCACATCAAGCAGATGTTCACCTGCACATCTGCTAATGTGGTATACCGCATCCACTGTTCCCGTTGTGGCCTCCTCTATATCGCACTAAACAACTGCACCTCCCAGTCGCGAACCATTTCAACTCCACCTCCCATTCCTCAGACGACATGTCCATCCTGGGCCTCCTGCAGTGCCACAACGATGCTACCCGAAGGTTGCAGGAACAGCAACTCATATTCCACTTGGGAACCCTGCAGCCCAATGGTATCAATGTGGATTTCACAAGCTTCAAAATCTCCAATCCCCCTACCGCATCCCAAAACCAGCCCAGCTCGTCCCCGCCTCCCTAACCTGTCCTTCCTCCCACCTATCCCCTCCTCCCATCTCAAGCCCCACCCCCATCTCCTACCTACTAACCTCATCCTGCCCCCTTGACCTGTCCGTCCTCCCTGGACTGACCTATCTCCTCCCTACCTCCCCACCTACACTCACCTTTACTGGCTCCATCCCCGCCTCTTAGACCGGTCTGTCTCCTCTCCACCTATCCTCTCCTCTATCCATCTTCTATCCGCCTCCCCCTCTCTCCCTATTTATTTCAGAACCCCCTTCCCCTCCCCCATTTCTGAAGAAGGGTCTAGGCCCGAAACATCAGCCTTCCTGCTCCTCTGATGCTGCTTGGCCTGCTGTGTTCATCCAGCTCTACACCTTGTTATCTCCTGCACAAAACAATTTGTTTCCTAGACACTGAGATGCACAGATGATTAGAACAGACAGGGATAAGTCACGTTTGTCTGTTCAAGAGCGTAGATCATTGGATCACATACCAGAAGTAGGATGTGTAGTCTCTGAACTTGTCTCACCCTTCAGTGTGATCATACCTGATCTGAAGCCTCTACTTACCTTTACTCCACATTGGTTAACACATTTGCTTAATGTGAATCTATCAATCTCAAACTTAACAACGGATCTAGCATTAATTACCAATTATGAAAATGAGTTTCACTCCTGTGCATGTAGAGGTCATTCATAATTTCACTCCTGTGTTCTGAGGAAGGGTCACTGGACCCAAAACGTTAACTCTGATTTCTCTGCACAGATGCTGCCAGACCTGCCGAGCTTTACCAACAATTTCCATTTTTGTTTCAGTCCTAAAAGGCCTTGCTCCAATTTTTACTTTCAACTCTCACCCATTGCAGACAGTTTCACTCTATCGACTCTATCTATCCCACTTAATGGCCAGCCAACTTCAAAGAAACCAACACTGAAACATCTGAATTCTAAGCAAAATAACACCAGTTTGTGGAATCTCTCCTTGTAATTTAATCCTTGAACTCGAGGCATCACTCTGATAAATTTACATTGCACACTCTCCGAGGTGAGGTGCGTGAATTTCTTCACAATAGCTGTAGTTTAACCGGGACTTTGCAAAGCTGAAGTAGGAATTATATCCCTTTGTTTTGGAGTCAGCTTGATATAGAGAACAGCATTCCATAAAATGGTTGCTAATGATTTCTGTATCCATTGCATTTCTGGTGTCATCTTTGCAAATCTCCACTGTTATCACTGACTGCAAAAGGTCAAAGATGGGTTTGGAGAATGGATTGATACGTCAATTTTAGGCTAGAGAAATGGAAGGCAATGCATTTCACAGAAAAGGTAAGGAAAGGCAATAGAGAGTAAATAGCACAGTTCTAAAGAGTGCACAGGAAAAGATGGAATTAGTGGTCCATATGAATAGCACTTTGGAGGTGGCTGGACGTACTGAGAGGATGTTAGCAAAACATATAGACTCTTGCAAAACAAAACTGAGATGCTGAGTACCAAATCAGCAAAGTTATACTGAACCTTCATCAAGTGATGGTTAGGCCACAATAGAACATTGAGGCCACATCTGCTCGCCACATCTCAGGAAGAAGGTGAGGATCCTTGAGGAGAGCGCAGAGGTCATTAAGCAGGGCAGTTTACCAGATGAGGGATTTTAGCTGCTAGTTTAGGTTTGAGAGGCTGGAGTTGTTCTGCTTGTGTCAAAGGAGGTTGGGGGGAGATTTGTTAAAAATGTAAAATATCCTGACTGTTTTAAATAAAGTATATAAAATAATTTGTACCCAATAGCTGAAAATGCAAGAACGAGCGAAGACCAATTTTAAATGTAGGGCAATAGTTACAGAGGGAATAGGAGGAACAACTTTTTTGTTTTGGTGAATTGTAATAACCTGGAACATGCTGTGTATGAGGGTGATTTCAAAAGGAATGTGGACGGCTATGTGAAATAAACTTGCAGGAATAGGAGATAGGCATGGGAATGAAACAAACTGGGCTGCTCAACTGAATGTTAGCAAAGGCTCAATGGGCCGAACGGCCTGCTTGTGGAACTTTGTAGCACGGATTTAAAGCTACTCCATAAATGGGTTTGATGATGGGAGATGTACTAAATCCAGCACCACCACCTCCCCACCCCGAACCACCTCCAATGGGCCAATCAACTCCACAAATAATGCCCAATTCATGGCCCATCCCTCTGCCATCAAGGTTAAATTGGTAGGAGGACTGAATCATGCTTACTGGCTGAGTCTCGTAAGAAGGCTGGTGGCAGGTGGGGTTTCCATTTGTAGCTGGTCCTCATTGATCCATTGGACAGCCTCCCCAGTCCAGGTTACCTCGCCCCTCCTCCCCTCGACACTGCCCCCGACCCCCCTCCGCCCCAACACTTTCAATGGCCTCTCAAACCTTGGCCACCACCAGCACTCCCTCACAGGCCTCCTTCACTGACTCCAAACCACCACAATTGACCACCACAATTGAGTGTAATACCAGCAGTGGCATTAGACCCGCTGGTGCTCTTGCACATTAAGAACTGCTGGCCTCTGATTGACTAACAGGTCTCTGAGGAGAAACTCTCAATTCCTGAAGGGAGGGAATCCCATCTCCAGCCAATTGATGGTCAAGTTTCAGGGAAGTGAGGGAGGAGCAGGGGAGCTATTCTTCCTGTGGACAGAGCAAGTTCTTGCAGATTAGCCATGGGGAATATAATTCAGCCCTAAACTCAATCATTCAGTGACTCAATTCAATCACACATTGTTGGTTTGTGGGGTTTGTTTCCCTTCCCTCCTTTGATAAGAAATCCATTATTTTTCTCTCTAATTGATGCAGAGCTTCTAAAATATAGGTACAGTATTAGCTTTCTGGTAGTTTCTAGTATGTGTAAGACAAAAAGCCTCCACTATCCCTTTCTGGATGTTTATAATCCATCCACAAGGGCTTGTACCCACTTTAGTTTGATTATCTCATTTAATATTTCACTTCTTTCTAATTTAGATGTAGTTATTGCATTATCATCTGCGCTCATGTCCATTCTCCTACTTCTTCATAACCACTGAAGGAAAATAGTATCTTGATGTTTCTACCATTTCCCCACTGTTGCTTATATGTCATTTGATTTGATTTATTATTTGATTTAATTTGATTTGATTTGATTTATTATTGTCACGTACTGAGATACAGTGAAAAGTATTGTTTTGCGTGCTATCCATAAGTACATCAAGGTAATAAAACAGATTGCAGGATACAGTGTTACAGCTACAGAGAAGGTGCAGAAAAAGATCAACTCTAATATGCTAAAGGTCTGTTCATAAGTCTGATAAAAGCAGGGAAGAAGCTGTTCTTGAATCAGCTTGTATGTGTTTTCAAGCTTTTATATCTTCTGCCCGACAGAAGAGGGTGTAAGAGAATATAACTGGGCTCGGAGGGGATTTCATTATGTTGGCTGCTTTCCTGAGGTAGCAGGAAGTGTGGATGGAGTCAATGGAAGGAAGGCTGGTTTTCATGATGGGCTGGGCTGCATTCAGAGCTTTCTGTAATTCCTCACGGTCTTGGGCAGAGCAATTGCCATACTAAATAAAAACTGAAAGTACTGCGGATGCTGTAAATCAGGAACAAAAACAAAGTTGCTGGAAAAGCTCAGCAGGTCTGGCAGCATCTGTGAAGGAGAAAACAGAGTTAATGTTTCGGGTCCGGTGACCCTTCCTCAGAAATGATGGTAGCTGGGAAAACGTCAGTTTATATGCAGAAAAGAGGGAGGTGAGTGGGGTAGGGAGTAAACGATAGGATAGAGCCCAAAGAGAGAGGAAGACAGTTGGACAGACAAAGGAGTTGATAACAAGCAGGCTGGGAGGGTGAATAGTTGTTACTGGGGACTGTTAGTGACTAACAACAGGGGGTGTGTAATGGCAGGCTATACTAAGCTGTGATGCATAAAGAGGATAATTGGTAAAAGTCATTGTGGATATGTTGAATTTCCTTAGTCTTCTGAGGAAATAGAGGCATTGCTGTGCTTCCTTGACTGTTGCATCGATGTGGATGGACCAGAACAGATTGTTGGTGATATTTACTCTGAGGAACTTGAAGCTATTGACCATCTCCACCTCAGCACCATTGATTCAGATAGGGGCATGTGCTCCACTCTGCTTCCTGAAGTCAATGACCAGCTCCTTCATTTTGTTGACATTGAGGGAGAGATTGTTGTCTTTACACCATACCACTAAGCAGTCTATCTCTTTCATGTGCTCATATCGTCGTTGTTTGAGATCTGACCCACTACAGAGGGTGTCATCAGCAAATTTGTTCGTGGAGTTAGAGCTGAATTTGGCCACACAGTCATGAGTGTATAAGGAGTCCAGTAAGGGGCTGAGTATGCAGCCTTGTGGGGCACCAGTGTTGAGGATTATCAGGAGGAGATGTTGTGACCTATCCTTACTGATTTTGTCCATTATTAAATGGTCTTACTCCCATCCCAATTTTTCTTTTGTCACTCACGTGCCTGTAAAATATTTGACTATTCTGTTTCTCATTCCTTGATTATTTCAGGTCATAGTTTCTCTTTGTCCTGTTTCAATTTTTGTATGAATCCTTGTTGTGCTCTCCCCTGCTAACTGTGGTTTCTGATTGTCTTGCCATACCATCATTCTTTTACTTCATGTCTGCATTCATCCATGGTGATTAACTGATATTTTATTTGTTCTTAGGGAGACAGGAACAGGATCAGGCCATTCAGTTCCTCAAGTCTGTTCTATCATTTAGTGAGATCATGGATGATCTGTGGCCTAACTCTATATATCTGCCTTTGGTACATATCCCTTAATACCTTGGCTGAACAAAAATGTATTTTTCTCAGATTTAAGATTAGGAATTGATCCAGCATCCACTGGTGGTTGTGGAAGAGAGTTTGAATCTACCACCTTTTGTGGGTAAAAGAGCTTCCTAACATTTCTTCTGAAATATCTGTCCATAATTCCCAGATCATGTCTTTTCTTGTTTTTCAGTAGGTTATATTTGAGTTGTATTGAACAACGTTCTAAAGCTTTCTCATTGGTATTCTACATTGGTATTAGTCAGTGCACCACATTTTATTTTCCCAAGTTTTATTTCTCTCAATGTCAATTTTTCTCCAAATGTTGCCCAGGTCATCATCATATCTATCCTCAATTATTATTTTATATTTTGTAAAAAATATATAATGTCATGGTACAGAATATTTACTATCTTTGTTGTACCTGGTACAAAATAATTACACTGCATTCCCATGCCAACATTTCTGTTGCAGGTCTCCTACAGTGTTCCAGTGAGCCTCAGCATAAGCTCAAAGAACAGCATCTCACTTTCCTCTTGGGAACCTGCAGCCTCTCAGACTCAACCTCGAGCCCAATAACTTTAGAGTTTGATTCCATCCTTCCATGTTTTTTACCCACATCACACACACCCTTTTAGCACAGCCAACCCATTTTCATCTACTACTCAGGTCTATTACCACATCACATAGTTGCTTTCAAAACAGACTACCCATTCTCTGCTACCCTCTTATTATTTATTCGGGTTTTCTCTGTTGTGGCCTGCTCTCCATAATCCCCTCGTTTGCCTACACCTTTCATATCTCTCTGTCTCTGGGCTCCATCTCCACCTATCCTTTCACCTCTCCCTTTCCCCCTCATCCCCCAACCCTGTCTTTAACATATATATCACCTTTTTCCTAGATGCTATCAGTTCTGATGAAGAGTCACAGGACTGAAATGTTAACTCTCCTTTTGTCCCACAGATGTTGCCAGACCTGCTGAGTTTCTCCAGCAAATTCTATCTTCGTTTCAGATCCAGAATTCTTTGTTTTATTATACAGTGGCCAGTGCCCAGTCTTGACAGTGTTGCAAAAATATCTCAATATGACTACTATGCCATAGCCCCCCACCCCCAACTGAATAAGTGCCTACGATTCATTAAATTTGTTCCTTATAACCCCTGTGTTTGTGTAATGCTTATTTGGGTCATACCCAACCAACCTTCACTTTATTTGTCAATTTCTTGTTTCTGTCCCCATTTTAATTAATTAACAGCTAAAACCTTTACACGAGAGCTCAAAGGGGGAGTATTTTAAAGTATGTAATGATCAACACTGTGACAGAAACTGGAAGTGGGATAATTGTAAACTGACCCCAACACATTTCTGTATTAAGCTTCAGGTGAACATTGAAATGTGAGTGAAATATTCAGTTTAGAAACACACTTGCAGCAGGTTATCATAAAACATTTGCTTTTGCAAATCTAGATTAATAAACTTAACTTTTGAGGTGGATATTTCATCAGTTCAGAAACAAATCTTCTTGCACGACAATTTCTACCTTTATTTCAGCTGCCGATTTCTCGAAATTTTTCTGTTTGGTAATACAATTCTGGCGAACTCTCTGAAGTTTCTCAACTTCACTCTGGATTTCTTTCTAGGAAAAAAATTGAAATAGTTTAGAGTTTTGAATAGGAATCTAAGAGGAAATAGCTCAGGAGATGGTCAGTTTCTGGTCACCAAACAGAACACTTTGAGATAATCTTAGCCCAGTGAAGGAGAAAACGATTGGAGTTCCCCTGGGATGAAGAAAACTCAGTTCACAACATTGGGACCAGAAGTCGGCATCAATTCTGCTCAGGTTGTTGGGATATGTCACATGGGCAATGATCTAAGTGCATGTATTGGGCACATGTACCATGGATGGGCAGAAAGTGTCTGCTCTTGCTGTCTCCTGATGGAATTTCAGTTCTGCAATAAATGGCTTGTCTTCCCAATGCTAACCTCTCCGAGCAATGAGTCCCTGCAGGAGAATTCAAAGGAAGTTGAGAGCCCTGTAGGGCCACTAAACCGTTATCTTGGAACCACAGTCTTCCACCCTCCCTTAGAACATAGAACATAGAACATAGAACATTACAGCGCAGCACAGGCCCTTCGGCCCTCGATGTTGCGCCGACCTGTGAAACCAATCTGAAGCCCATCTAACCTAAACTATTCCATTATCATCCATATGTTTATCCAATGACCATTTAAATGCCCTTAAAGTTGGCGAGTCTACTACTTTTGCAGGCGGGACATTCCCCGCCCTAACTACTCTCTGAGTAAAGAACCTACCTCTGACATCTGTCTTATATCTATCACCCCTCAATTTAAAGCTATGTCCCCTCGTACTAGCCATCACCATCCGAGGAAAAAGGCTCCCACTGTCCACCCTATTTAATCCTCTGATCATCTTGTATGTCTCTATTAAGTCACCTCTTAACCTTCTTCTCTCTAACGAAAACAGCCTCAAGTCCCTCAGCCTTTCCTCATAAGACCTTCCCTCCATACCAGGCAACATCCTGGTAAATCTCCTCTGCACCCTTTCCAATGCTTCCACATCCTTCCTATAATGCGGTGACCAGAACTGTACGCAATACTCCAAGTGTGGCCGCACCAGAGTTTTGTACAGCTGCAACATGACCTCATGGCTCCGAAACTCAATCCCTCTACCAATAAAACCTAACATACTGTACGCCTTCTTAACAACGCTATCAACATGGACACCGAGATCTCTCTGCTCATCCACACTACCAAGAATCTTACCATTAGCCGAGTACTCTGTATTCCTGTTACTCCTTCCAAAGTGAATCACCTCACAATTTTCCGCACTAAACTCCATTTGCCACCTCTCAGCCCAGCTCTGCAGCTTATCTATGTCCCTCTGTAACCTGCAACATCCTTCCACACTATCCACAACTCCACCGACTTTGATGTCATCTGCAAATTTACTAACTCATCCTTCTACGCCCTCATCCAGGTCATTTATAAAAATGACAAACAGCAGTGGCCCCAAAACAGATCCTTGAGGTACACCACCAGTAACTGAACTCCAGGATGAACATTTCCCATCAACCACCGCCCTCTGTCTTCTTACAGCTAGCCAATTTCTGATCCAAACCGCTAAATCACCCTCAATCCCATGCCTCCATATTTTCTGCAATAGCCTACCATGGGGAACCTTATCAAACGCTTTACTGAAATCCATATACACCACATCAAC